CATTGGTTATTCGGGCAGATCAGATACAAGCTTGCATCAAATCGAATTATTGAACATTGCCTACCAGGGTGGCTGAGTTGCACTTACCGCAGCAAGTTACACCCAAAAGGAGTTCAACAATCATAATTTTTTTAAGAGTTGCGATTTTTTACGAGCAACCAAATTTGTTATATTAATCCACAGTATTATATCAAAATAAACTTGGTATAACTTTGATACTTTAGAGTTAAATCATACACTTCCGTCCAAACAGCACGGGGTCCGCGATCTACCGCAGGTAGATTGCCTACCTGATAATGTACTGCTGCGATTCAGAATTTTTATTCCGGGCAACGGAAAAGATAAGATACATTTTGAACACCATACACCGAATATTGAATAATGAATTGAACAAAGTTTGAGTCATATTGAGTTGATACATTTAACGGGCGACGAAGTGCACGGGATCAGCTAGTATATTATATAATACTGTTATTAAAATAATCAAAATTCTTAACAATAGAAAGGTATAATAATAATTGTGCACACATATAATATTATATAGATAATGAATAATTTAATGTACATAGGCACAAGTTTTTGTTCAATAAGCATTTAAAGTTCAAATGTTGACAACATTTATCGAAAGCTCAAAAATTTGCAAATTATTTTGTAGTAAAAAATTTAACACTCAGTTCAATTAGGCACGTTACATGGTCTTAGTTATAGTAAAAAATATTCATATAACATATAGGTAGTTTGAGTAAAAATGAATTCAACTAAATTGTGTTCAGTTCATTTAGGATTGAATTTTATGATTAAAGTTAGAAAACAACGCGCTTTTGGGTATACACCTTTTTTTCAGTTCTATTATTAAATAATATTGATGCGCAAATGATTTATAACCTTTTAAACGATCGATGCGCAAACGATTTATAACCCAAAAATGAAACGATGCGCAACTGTCTAACAAAAAAGGTCAAAAATAACAATAGTGATGCGCAAACGACAACCGGCGGCTAAATCATACACTTACTTACAAACAGCACGGGGTCAGCGATCTACCGCTAGGTACAGCTGAGAATCAGAATTTTTATTCTGGGCACAACGGAAAAGTTAAGATAAGTTTTGAACACTATACATCGAATATTAAATAACGAACTGCACAAAGTTTGAGTCATATAGAGTTGGTCCATTTAACGAGCAACGATATGCACGTGATCGGTTTTTTTGTAATAAAAATATATTTATCATTAATACCGCTAGAAACATTTCAATACGCTTTCATTAAAAGTTTTTTTATATTTACTTGCCGATCACATTAAGCAATAAAATTTGAATAAAAAATTATACATATCATCGTCCAATGGCAAAATAAACAACCAATCACGGGCGAAGCTGTGACGGGTCGGCTAGTTGATTATATTTATAAAAAAAAAATTATATTTTACTGAAAAAAATAATTTCTTATTAAATAATAAATAGTAAACTTAAAAAAAAAATGGGGGGAAAATGTCCGCATCGAATATAATTGGGGGGAAATTGTCCGCCATTCATTTAAGAAAACCTGCTATTCTCAAATAAATCAAATGGTAAATAATAATAGGTTATATCTAATGTGAATAATGATCAATTCAATTTTTTTTTATAATGCGATATTTTTTCCGCGTACCACCTATGATGACGTTATTGAGAAACGCCTGTTTAAAATAGGTATTCTTCTTATTTTTTTCGTCTTTGAGTATTTGAATTTACAAGAGTTGCCAAGATATTTACTTTCGTTAAAAATGTGTGTAAAATAGTCCAATGAATAACAATAATAAGTTAATAAAAAATGTATAATGTCAGTATATAATTAGAATTACAAAAAAAAGAATAAGAAACATAGTTAAATATTGTGTAGTACCTATATATTAGTACATAATTTAGGGCAGAGGACTTGTAGCTCTAAAAAGTTACCAAATATGCATTTAAATATGCAAAATATGCATTAAAAATATGCACTAAAATATAAAAAATATGCATTAAAAATGAATATTTTTGAATAAAAAATAAGGATTTTTCTGTAGGTAGTTATTATTTTAATTAATACATTTTCCAGGCTCATATCGATATTTTGTGAGTTGAACAATATTATCTTACTGTCTATAAATAAAATTAATAACCCAACAATCAATCTAATCGGCAACTCTCGAGATGTTTTTCTAGGAAAAACATGCGTCTGTGTAAAAGCGTCTGCGTCTGTATATAACCATATTAATATTATGATCAAAATTTAAAATAATTTTAAATCCAACGTTATTTTGGTTGTATAAATAAATAAATAAAAACGTTGACAAAAAATATTGATAAAATGAAAAATGATTTAAAATATGCATCTAAAAGTATAAAATGGAAGAATTTGCCCTAAAAACCGAAAAAACGCAAAATATGCACTAAAAACTAAAAAAAACGCAAAATATGCCCTAAAAACCAAAAAAACGCAAAATATGCATTTATATGCACAATAAAATTTCAAAACTAGCTTTGTGGAAGCATGAAACGTATTTGTTTCGCACTCTGCTATTTTTGTGACTGTGCAAAAAAAATATGCAAATGCTACAAGTCCTCTGCCTTATACATAAATAATGTTTTGTTATTTGTTTTTTTTTTGTGGAGTGAGGGGCTACTTACTAGGTAGAATACCTACTGAATACCTAGCATTATATGAATATGAACAAGCTCCCCTTGAGATTACCTTGCTAGTTGCTATAAGCATAATATACCAATATACCATATTAATACCTTTAAATCTTAATACCTTATAATGTACAAGCTTAAAGTGTGGGGTTTATGAATAAATAAAAAATGCAGTTCAAATGTTTTTCCGGGAATTTATTTTCTGATTAATCTTTACTCCAAGACCATTATAATATGCGAATGGACATTTGTTACAAATGTTTTGTATAATAAATTAATAAATCCTGTGGAACAAATACATTATGGAACAACAAACGTTCATCGGAACAAAGATATATGTAAGAAGATATATAATTGAATGGATGTCAATTGAAACAAATGTATTTCGACGAATGTAAATAGGAACAAAGGTAAAACTTGGAAATTAATATCAATGGAATAAGTTGAAAGTTGACTTGGAAAAAAAAATGTGGAACAAAATGTAGTTTCCAAAATGATGATTGATGACAACAAGCATTATTAAAGGGTTTGATATAGCTATAAAGTATAAAGGCATTGACACAAATAACGTTTGAAATTTGAGGGCAGATGAAACCCTACTATAATAATATTGAAGAAGTTTAAAAAACTGTTAGGTAATATTGGGGGGGGGGGGCTATTGAAATGTTTTAAAACCCCTCCTCATAGTTGCACCTATGTATATCCACAAAATATAGCCTATGCGTAAATATACGTAAATAATATATAGGTACCTCGTACCTATACGAAATTTCAAAATTTTAACTTTCTAAATTCTGAGATTTAATTTTCTGGGAAATTATGGTCTACAGTATCACTTTCTGTAATACAACGTTCTGTGATTATAATTTCAGGCTTTAAACCACGGACTAAGATATCTTAGTCCGTGCTTTAAACTTTATGGAATTTAATTTTCTGGAAAATTATGGTCGACGTTATCACTTTCTGTATAACTACGTTCTGTGATTATAATTTCAGGTTTTTAACTTTCTGGGATAAAAATTCTGTACACATATTTTATGTTCATTTTATTTTCAATATGAAAACAATTCTGGAACATTAATTTCCATGTGTTTTGTTTTCTGTAATTTTTCTTTCTGTCGTTTTATTTTCTATCACTATATTTTTCTGTTAAATTTAATTTATGGATTACTAACGTTCGGTTCCTTTATTTTCGGGAAAATGATACGTTCCCCTGTGATCTTTGTCCTAAGACATTTGTCTCAGAATTTAATTCGCAAAAGTGGCAAAACTGCAATTTGCAGTCTGCAGTTTGTGCATTTAAATAATATTTTAATATAGCAGTTCAGATTGTTATTCAGCTACCCACCACGGACTAAGATATACAGGACTGGACACGAGATGAATATTGTGGTTACGAAATGTTTTACAACAGGCGGAGTTCGGGGGGATATTTTCCTTTTAGCATTACTAGCGCCGTCTTAGTGGATACTTATCGAACTAGAAATTTGTATGATGTGTTCTAGTTCCATAAGTATCCACTAGGACGGCGCTAGTAATGCTAAAAGGAAAATATCCCCCCGAACACTACCTGTTGTAAAACATTTCGTAGTCAACCCCCCCACACCCTCCAACCTTGTCGTGTCCAGTCCTGTATATCTTAGTCCGTGCTACCCACGGTCTTATCTATTCTGTAATCGTGATTCTACCACAGAATAAATGAAATCAATTATATTATATTCGTAATCTCTAATCAGTAATCAGTGCCCAGTGGAATCGACAACGTTTCGGTCGTAAGTTTACGGTGTTCACTGTGACACTTTTTATTATTTACTCGTTTCTTGTTGTGTTTCCGCCAGTGTGTTAACTCTCGGGCGATCTTTGCAAACCGGACTACGGAGTTATGAAAATAATGAAAAGCCATCCATCTACGGTCTACACGCATCATAGGAACTTAATGGTTAGTTTGTGCATTTTCCTTCTAATTTTGTTTGTCGACGCACCCGAACTTGCCGTCTTTCTGCGTATTGGCCTTATTCCACACCGTGTATCAAGGCCAAAGAACAATAATAATAATAATAATATTGTATTGCGTCCAAATCCCTTGTAATTATTATGAACAACTAGTACTTAAGTACTTAGTCAGTACGCAATGTTTCATTTTTATTATTATTATTATTATTATTCAATTGAAGTACCTACTTACCTATTGAACATCCTTTTAATAATGTTTTGGTAATTTTTTTTTTCTCAGTCAAATTGTGTCATAGCCAAAGCCTATTCTTAACCAGAATTAGTTATCCAGCAACAGCGTTCAATAACCAGCACATAAGTCTTCTAGTCAATCAATTCCTACCGTCAACATGAGTTCAGCTGATCGTTCAATATCATCTGGGTTTCCAATACCTCAGTGGATGAAATCTAAAATAAACGATCGGTTAGTTTGTTTATGTAGTAATAATGTAATATAAATTTAATATTCGCAAGCAGGATGTACTTAAATAATAAAGTAAATTATAAAATCTGATAAAGGTTTATATTTAATAAGTACCTAGGTATATTTTTTTTTGCAATTTAATAGGTATATAAACTAAAAATAGGGGGACGAGGTGGCCGAGTGGTCTAACGCGTCGACTGCGGCGCTGGCAGTCGCGGGTTCGCCTCTCGACCACTGGGCGGCATTTTTCTCCGGGCAAGTCACGGTGTCCGGAGTACAAGTGCCGCCATCCCCCAACCCGGGGCATGGCAGAAACCTACGGGTGCCCCAATAAAAATTCTGCCACCACAAACACACACGTGTACCAACCTACCCAAACTAAAAAACCTACAGTTCCCTACCAACACCCAATGGCCTATGTTGCCGCGGGTTATCCAATAAAAAAAAAAAAAACAAAAAAAAAAAAAAAACTAAAAATATAAAAGGACCATCATGTAAATGGACAATGGTGGTAGTGTACAATGTGTGTGATCTACCATAGATATCTAGCTACATTTATTTATTATTTATAATTTTAATTACTAATGTAGGTATTGTTCAACAAATTTAAAATTATACTTAAATTTGGTAGAAGTTAATTAGATTACATTCATTGATAAGCAAAATATACACAATAACTAAAAATAATAATAATGAAACTAGAATAATAAATTTTTCTGTGTTCCAACTCGAATACTTTTAATATTGTTTGTGATTTGAAATTAAAAAATCCATTGCGATCATTTATAATAACATATTCTTATTGACCAGACATTGTGTCAACTATAAACCCGGCTAAAACAAGTGAATAGTGTACTGTGTACCAATATTAAAACCAATTCATTTTCCATTTTACCAGAATACTTTTAATGACACTAACCTGGATTTTCTGTTTTTAAACAACTGCATTCCTTTGTTTATCTTTAAATACCTATACTTATATTAAATAAGATGTAATATTATGATGCAATGTATTTTCACATTGTCACTAATTTTAAAGGTTTGCTTTAATATTTTAATTGCAATAGTTTGGATGATAATAATAATATCTTTTATATTTAGTTTAGTAAAGATTTTCCTATAACATTTAGTAAGTTGTTTTAAATATAAAGCATTCTGTTCTGGGTTTGTATTTATAAAATTGTAAATTGTTGTTTTGGTATGTATACCTATAATGGGTATATTAATCTAGGTACTATAATTTAATAATACCTTTTATTCGAGCTTTTATTAGTGTAGGTTACCACTATACCCTATAGACTGTGGTGTTTTGGGACTTGAAACTGTAGAACGACAGTGAACTGTATTGTCACAACGTTATCAGCATACACTGTATGCGATAAAAAATCAAAAAGTGGGTAAACTTACGGAGAATAGAGTATAATTAAGTAGGTGTAAAGATCGATCTACTTAAAGAATTTCCACATTAGGTTATAAGTTATAACAAAAAAAGGAATACAAAATACCCTTTAATAAAAACATAAAAAGTATAAACACTTACTAAATAAATCACACAAGTACTTAATAAGAAAAAAAAATGTTATTTATTTTTATTTTATAAAAGTAGGTACCATAGTACCAAGATAAATTGTCTAATAATAATGAAGGTCCAAAGAATTAATTGTGATTTAGTTGTACCTATTAGTTAACATTGATACTTTTATTATATCAATATTAAATTATTATATAAAATACCAAATATCAAAGATGATAAATTATTAATATTGAACAAATTATGTTATGTTATTTAAAAAATATATTTTTAGGTATGTTATTAATTATTAGTAAGTAAAAATCGGTAAAAATTAATACATACAATAAGAACATTTCTTCTAAAAAAAATCATAATAGGTATATATTGAATAAAATAATGTCTCTATTTTTATTGAAACAAAATAATATATTTTGTATAAAACTTCATATAAATTAATTTTTTAAATATGAATATAAACTATAAAATTCTTAATATTAAATCCTTAGGAATTACATTTTAAAATATTTACCCAACTATAAGTACTAGGTTCAAGTATTAATAATAAACTAATAAGTATCATTAAATTTTGTTTACTTATCTAATTCCCTGAATTATATATTGTAAAAAATTATATTATGCAACAATAATTAAATTCCATCCTTAGATAACTCTGTAGACGTCATATTACATATTTATAATAATAACAATAACAGTACCTACTTAATATGTTTTTAACTTTAACCATCTGATAATATTTTATTTTCATGTTCACCATACATTGATTCAAGCTGTTGAATATTATACTATTCAAGTATAATATGTATTTTTTATATTCAGCTAGCTAATAGTGGCACACACAGCAGTCAAAACCGTCTTAAAAAATACTCTTGATATTATTTGTTTAAACATTTAATAAATATATTGCGACTCATTTAAATGCTTTGTTGAGGAATTCCAATATTTTTAACCTTTCCCTTTGTCAAACCTTGTCTTGGTCTTATGTTCACAAACACATAATATTATACTTTCCTATTACTAACTCTACAGACTATACTTCTATAGCACTTCTATTGCTATAGTCCAACATTTCATACATACCTACATAATGATCTTCAGATTTAATGATGCGAGAGGTTATGGTTAAGACTGTTATAACTGAAAATTATGGACATCAGAGACTTCTACTCTCTTCTTCAGTGTTGCATTCTTACACAGATGTTTGACTTGTGGGGAGAGTTCTGTTGTTAACATGAATAGAGTATATAGGTATACGTATAGTACCTAAGTATACTTCTTATAAAAACTAGTGTCATAGTGTTAATATTAAATATATATGTACCTATGTGTATTAATTATATTAATAACGGATAATGCTAAAAAACATCTTATCTGCCAAAGAACTTTAATCATGGTTAATGGTGGTAATATATATACACATTTTTACTATTCAGTGTTACTGCAATTTGTCAATTACCTAATAGAATGAGAATCAAATTTAACCTAGTGAAATGAAATATATTTAACAATTAATGGATTTACTCTATTCTGAATAAGAATGCACACTTCCTTTGCGCATGTATACTGAGTGGCCCTAATAGTTGGACCCCTCTTGCAGTGCCAGGTGCTCGAATATTGGTTGTTGATTGTCGGAAACCGATATTACTTGTTGTTTTCAATGTCCACCAAAACGAAAATGGGAGGGCCTGCGCCGGTGAGTAGACATTCTGGCATTCTTATTCTGATTGAGTATTGTTGGTACATTTTTAATATAACTCAATCAAAATGAATTCTATACATTGTTTATGTTTTAGGTAAATATAGTATATTTTATTTATAAATATAATTTAAATTGGTTGAAGTAGCTGGTATGTTTTCCAATGATATATTTTAAATTCAGAGCAGAGCGAGGAACCTAGTGGTTTTACAATGGTGTTTATTTTAGATTCTGAGTGGAACGATGAATGTATTGATTTTACAATGATGTGTTTTTTTTTGTTTTTTTATTTGTGTCTGTCATCACCTTTTAGGACAGTAAACGTTCTTGGATTTCTTCAACAGTATCTTTTCTGATAGGAAAGTGAATCTAGTTGGTACTTTGGGGGGTCAAAAGTAAAATTTTTCCAGTAGTTTTCAAAAGCTTAGTGAAAAACAAAAGAAAAATTAAGAAAAAACGGGAATTTTTACAATAAATTTTGGTTTTTGTTGTTACTCTAAAACAAATGAACATGAAAATTTCACTGGTTGTTTATACTTCCATTTTCTATACATGATAACATTCCATGGTTTTCCATGGTGGTATTCGTGACTTGAGTCGTTGGACATTATCTAATGCAGTGAGGTCCGTGTGTATGGGAAGGAAGGAGTTATTAGGGTACTTTTTCCATTCTTGCAATAATGCATGTTCTCTTCGTAATTTTGGCGGAGAATGTTACTAAGCACTGGTAACCATTTTGGTGGTGTAGACTTTGTCAGCCCACCAATTGTCCACAAATCTAAGATATGAAAGTGTAATACAAGATTCCTCATAAGTTTGTCTACCTTTATCAAAAAAAATGTCTACAAGAAACTCAAATTAAAATTTTATGAGCGTTTGAAATTCATATTTTTACAACATTTGATATTCACTCGATTTCTCATGTAACGATTTTCTGATTTTGTTGTAATCAAAAAACGAATGACTGTAGATACTTGAAAATTTCACTGAATATTAGCATTTCATATTCACCATATAATTTTGAAAATATTTTGACTCTTTTTGAGTTTACAGACATTAACAGCTTTTTTTTCAACAATTTTTTTGGTTTTTTTTGTTCTCTAAATATCAATAAAAATTTATTAGTTGAGTAAAAAAGCGTGAAAATTTAATGCAAGGCTTCTGATATATTGTTACAATAGCAGTTGAAAAATATTAAAAATTCCAAGGCACAATTTTTTTTTATAATCATTTAAAGTTCAAATTTTGACAAAATTTATCACATTTAAAATTTAATAATAATTTTGTAGTTAAAAATTTATGAAATGTTAAACTCTTATAGCTAACGATTGAAAATTTAAAACAAGATTCTGCGTAAATAGGTTATAATATGTAAATTACTTTATTCACCTTAGTATCATCAAATATACTTCGTAATATCATAGGCTGACTAACCATTTTCGCTCAGAATCGTTTTTCTTATACAATGATATTATATCATTGAATTCAAATTTAATACCATCCATTATACAGTGACCCACTTGTAACCTTCTATACAGCAGAGCACCGTTTTTTTATTTTCATCCTGTATACAGAATTTTTACCAGGAGTGCTTTGATTTCAACATATAGTACCTTAGCTTTTAGCAAATTGGATCAAGATGGTACTTTAGAAAGGTCATTTTTCTATTTTTTCAATAATTATTTAATGCCACGATAAAAACCGCAAATAATGGGATTTTAATTTCTAATGCTTTGTTTATCAACTTAGGTACAGGCTATAATAAATAATAACAATATAAAATATCCAAACTAGACAAACCGTCCCCGCTCAGAATTGTTTTTCTTATACTATTATATTGTATCATTTAATTTAAGTTTAATACAATTATACATTGACATTATACATTACAAGTGGTGTAACCTACTGTACAGCAGAGCGACATCCACTTATCCGCTTTTCATCAATATCATTTTTATTTTTTTCCTAATAAACTGAAATATATAATAAGTAAATTACAAAAATAATATTAAATATTAGTAAACTAACTAATTAAATTAAAAGTATTGAATTATGTGGCATTATATTATTTTTAATATCAGTGGTACACAATATTTCACTATTGTGCACATACATAGCCATACTATTTTTTAAATTCAAGGGAACCACTTATTTATAATAATACTTTACCAACAACTAAAAACTAAACTATGTATATTTTTGTACTTTTTGTAAAGTGCATGCTACTTTTATATTTTTCATACGTATTTATTAGTGCCTAACCATTATTTTATGTATTAACCCTACTAATATTATAAACGCGTAAGTTTGTGGCTTTGTTACTCTTTCACGTGAAAACTACTTGACCGGATCTTGATGAAATTTTTACACTGTGTGTATTTTGATCCAACTTAAAACATAGGCTAATTTAAAAAGGGAGAGGACCAACCCCGGGAGGTGCTAAAACGGGAATTTTGAGATTTCATATAGAAATTTTTGTTTATAAATGGTTGCCATTGGTTTTTAAGCTAGATACAATAAAAATAACAAAGTTATTAAGTAGAATTAAGTAATTAAGTAGTTAGAATTAAGTAATTAAGTAGTTAGAATTAAGTAAAAACGACAAAATTGGTATAACTTTGATATTTTAGAGTTAAATCATACACTTATGTACAAACATTACGGGGTCCGCGATCTACCGGTCCGCGTACTACTGCGATTCAGAATTTTTATTCCGGTCAACAGAAAAGATAGGACAAATTTTGAACACCATACACCGAATATTAAATAACGAATTGAACAAAGTTTGAGTCATATAGTGTTGATACATTTAAGGGGCAACAAAGTGCACGAGAACAGCTAGTATAATATATTTTAGTTTTAAACTTACTATACCCAAATCACCAAGAGAATGCAGGTCTCTTGTGCATCCAAATGAATGTGATCCGCAGTCTTGAGGTCTTAATTCTCCTTTACATGTATACACTATACAACGGCGATGCTGCTCCCTCACACTTGTAAAGTGATGGGAATGCGTAGCAATTGACAGATTTTAGGTGACGCCAACTTGCATTCTTTCGACTATTTGAGTATAGCATATATTAATGAATCATAGGAACACAGCGACACTATGTGTGCATAATCATTGATATATACAACAACTAGATAGCCGTCTCCTTCTTGTCATCAAAGTCAGACGCCATTTACAAAGCAGGCAATGTTTACAAAATAGTATTATCATAGTATATATGTATAGATAATTATATATGTATATAAATAAATGTAAACATTGCCTGCTTTGTAAATGGCGGCCGATTTCAATATTGGTCACAACTGTAGTATAATGACGGCTATCTAGTTGTAGTATACATCTATGTGCATAATATATTAATGTATAACTAATCATTGACTATACTCTTTTCAAAATGCTTAGATACTTCTGCAATAATTTGTAGTTTGTAGCGAGGTGTTATTGTTGTTATTTAACATTGATCCACTGATAGGTAACATTTTCACGTTCATGGTAGACAAATATAAAAGATTATGTCAAGTGTAAAGATACAATAAATATATGTATTTTTTCCCTTTTTTCCACTATCATAAACCTTTCCGGCTCCTTGAATTAGTTTATAATATTAAATTATATATATCTAATATCTACTAAATAACCATATTTAACTTTAGAATGAAGTGTGAATGCACAATGCGTGACTAAAATTGAAAATACTTAAGCCTTTAATAACTAATTACAATAGCACATGTATATGCATAAGAATTCATGATCGACATAAAATTCTATGTTATGAAAAGTATGATTTTTCAAGTAGTTATTCGTGACTGATTATTAAAATTTATTTTATTTACAATCTCTTCAGATTTTATTAATTTTTAAGTGAGTTATTGAGTAGGCTACTTGATATAAATACATTTAACTGATAATTTGTTTTATATAAATTTATATTTATAACTTAAATGTTTCATTTAGATATGACCTAGACCAACCATCATTTTCTCCAGAAGAAACAGATGACAGCTTTTTTTTGGTTCGTTATTTAAAACCAGACAAAGTAAATCAAAAACGCGGCGATATCACTAAAAATAAACCAACTGAAGAAAATTTAGCAGAAAAAACAGTTCAAAATTTAAAAAATATGCCTCCAGCATTAATTGTTACGGAAACACCAGAATTTAAAGGACATACGCTTGCTTGTCAACGCTTCATTACAAATACTTGTGCTGGTAAGTTATTATGTTTATTTTTTAAGGTAACATACAGTGGATTCCGCTTAATGTAGACACTTTGGGACCAAACGTATTTACCCACATAAGGCGGTTGGCTATATAAACCAAAATACTCTTGGTTAGTATACCCTATAGTTGGGACCTGACCATTTTCCCCATATTAACCGGTGTTCACATTATGTAGAATCCACTGTATTGAACATTTTATTAATTATTATCGACAATTTTAAAGAATTGCAAATGGGTTATAATGTTAGTGCCCTAGTCATTTTGATTTACAATCAAAACTATATATAGAAATTAGTAAGGAAAGAGGGCCCAAAAAGATTTTTTAGTTTCAGTTTAAATATATAATACATATTAATGTACATATGTTTTAACATTTTTCTAAATAACTATGTTTAAAATAAAAACTTTCATGATTAATGCTTTATGGGGAGTCTCATCCAGATCCATTAAAATATAGCATTATGACTTATGCTCTTCTATACAATATATTTCAATTGAAAGCATTATTTTAAATTATCAGTAAGTTATATTTTCATATGTTTTTTTACTATATAACTAAACCCAAAGAACTAGTAACAATAACTATTATTATCAGGTAATTTTAACCAAACTAATGATTTATTTTATATTTAATGCAGTTGAGAGGGGGTAGAGTTATGAAATATTGGGGGAATAATATAGGCGACATACACCAGGAAATGCTTTTAGAATGTTTCTAGTTATAACAAAGTAACTAAAGCGAGAAAATAAGTCCAAATGTAATGTGTTTGAAAATATTTAAATTTAAAGATGAATAGTTTTACAATTATTCATTGATTAGTCCATTAGTAGTCAAACCATAATCAAGGTCAATATAATGAATACATAATTTTTTTGATGAAATGTTTTGCTGGTATCATGCAATTAAATATTATGTAAGCTAATGATAGTTATTAATAGGGCCCCGATTTAAATGCTCTAAAAAATGGTTTAAAATGTATTTTACCGGAATAATGCCCTTCAAAATTGACATATAAAATCCCGTATAAAATTAATTTTTTAATTCAATATTTTATTTTTTACACCTACCTAATTTAAAATAATTTCTAAATGTTTATTAGAAGAAAAAAACTGAAATTCGATAAAATTTGTTTAGAAGATCTGAGTATTTATTAATTATAATCACGGCCTACAAATTGTACTATTGGATACATGTTTTCCCTCTATATAGGCCCAAGCGGGTAAATAGTTAAGAGTAGAATTTTTGGACCAAAAATTGTCTCCCCCCAAGAAAAATCAAATCTGCTATTAAAGTCGTATGATATACAAATATGCATTAAAACTCAAAATTACAAAAAATTCAAAATAAAAGATTAACCTTTGAGGTTGAAGTATCTGTTTTATGAAAAAAATTATGTACTTGGAAAGCATTGTCTACGATCACTCAAAAAAAGATACACTTTGTATTTAAAATTCAAGACCTAGTTAATACAAAATTAAGGTTTTAAAAATTTAAAATCAATGATATTAGTTAATTAGATTTAAAAATTGATACCTTAATATTAGTTTACTCCTTTACCTTTAAATTATCAATTATATTTCTTGGGATATTTTTAACAGTATCCTGAATGGCCATCAGGATTTTATATGGGTACTGTAACGTCATTTGGTTGCTGCCAGTCTTGTTGACTGTAGGAACGTATATCCCAGCGCTATCCCTTTTTATAAGGTAAGAATGTATACTCTATTCCAAATAAGATCAGACATCGTCCCCGCTACGGCGGAGCGTCAGATCTTATTTGGAATAGAGTATTAGTGACGTAATTAGGAATTTGGTTTGGAGGAGGGGGGGCATACGTTTTTAGCCACCATTAATAGTCAAATATTGATCAAAATGTTTGCAGGAAAAAAAAGGCGCTCTGCTGTACAGTAGGTTACAAGTGGGTCACTGTATAATGGATAGTATAAAATTTGAATTCAATGATATAATATCATTGTATAAGAAAAACAATTCTGAGCAGAGACGGTATGTCAGTCTAGGTATAAGACATATTATATACTTATCTATCGTATTAAAAAAAATTTAACTAAAATAGGTACCTATAATAAATTCCAAATTAATCATATCACAATATCCATTAGGTACTTACAATGCGTTATACGTCAACAAACCCTGATACTATCATAGTCCATACACTATAAATATATATAATAGTGTGCTTTAGAAGTTTCAAGTACCCACGAGTAATATTACACAATCACAACAAAATAACTAAAATAGTTATTCTAGGTTTTTTTTAATGTAATTTCATCCAAATTTGAACTTAAAGTGACTATAAAAATAAACTGTGCGTATGTATTTTTTAGATTTTTTGGTAACAAATAAAATTTTATTGATATTTTGAGAAAAAAAACTAAAAAAAAATGGAAAATGAAAATGTGCCTAAACAGTTCAAAATAAATCAAAATATTTTGAAAATGTTATCGTGTATGGAAAATGCAAATATAAACAACCAGTGAAAATTTCATGTATATACGTTCATTTGTTTAAGAGTTACACCAAAAACCAAAATCGATTTTGGTAAAAATTCCTGTTTTTCCTTAATTTTTATGTTGTTTTTCCCGGTGCTTGTGAAAACTACTAGGAAATTTTTACTTTTGATCCCCCAAAGTACCAACTAGATTCACTTTCCTATCAGAAAAGCTACTGTTGAAGAAAATCCAAGCACTTTTACTGTCCTGAAACGTGATGACAGACACAAAAAAAAAAAAACACACATCATTGTAAAATCAAAACATTCATCGTTTTGCTCAGAATCTAAAAGGTTTTGAGGGGAATCTATCCCCCTAATCCCCCCCCCTAATTACGCCCCGGTAGAGTATAGAAGACTTAAAATAATATTCAGTACAATATACAAGTATACAACACATATTAGTCATTATATACAGTTTGAAAAAATGTGTACACTTTACTACTATTTGATTATTAATAATGGAATTAAGTTTGTTTTTATGGAACATTCTATTCAACATTATCCAAATCAAACATTGGCTTATCTTATTATTTGTGTTATTAACTGGTTTTTTTTTATAAAATTAATCTTATTAACAACATTATAGCCTATAGGAGTTTATTACGTATTTTGAAATCAAACAAGGTATATTTTATCCTAAAAACTTGTATTATTTACATTAGTAAAGCATAAAGGAAGTAAGTAAGGCCTAGCTTTAGATATTATATAATAATTGTTGTTACTAATGATAATAACAATTATTGTGCAAGATTTTATTGAGAAAATACTCATACACATTTATATTTTATAAATATTTGAACATGATTGATAGAATGGTACTTTTGAGCTTTGAGAAAAAAACAAAAAAAAATAAGTTAAAACAAGAATTTTTACTCAAAATCAGTTTTTGACGAAATCGATTTTGGTTTGGGGTTCATACGACACGGTGTAGTGTGAACCTTTCTTTACTCTACAGATTACAGTAGAAACATGACATTTTCACTGATTATTTATATTAGTATTTTCTATACACTATAAAATATTCAAAATATTTTTATTTGTTGTAAACTGTTAATGGACATTTTCAGTTTCCAGTTTTTTTAGTATTTTTTCTATGAAAAAATTCTCCTGATATATTGTTACACAATATCAGTTGAAAAATATTAAAAATACGTAGTCAAGATTTTTTTATATGCATTTAAAGTTAAATTTTTGACATTTATCAAATTTAAAATTAAAATAGCTTACAAGTGGGTCACTGTATAGTGGATGGTATTAAATTTGAATTCAATGATATAATCTAATCAGTGGCGTATTTTGAAATTTTTTCTGGGGGGGGTCTAAATATTAGGTACCTACAAGTTTATAATATAAAAAAAACACATACGAGTTACGATGTAATAATTATATTATATTATATTTTTTTCTGGGGGGGTCCAGACCCGGGGACCCCCCCCCCCCCCGTAAATACGCCACTGAATCTAATTGTATAAGAAAAACAATTCTGAGCGGACGCGGTATGTCAGTCTAGGTATAAGACATATTATATACTTATCTATGGTATTAAATGAGAATTGACCTATAATATAGGAATGCCCCAAACCATGATGACGAACACAAAAATAAATAAAAAATTAAAAAATAAACACACATCATTTGGCTCTATTTAATGAAGTAGGTATGCGAAAAACTAATAAATCCTCATTATTCAATTGTTTTAAACCAATTAAGTCTTGTTGGACTGGTGATACTTCTAACTCAGCGTATATTACATTGACGGAGGATTTCTTTTGCATTGGGTTGCATGGCATCAGGGCGAAACTTTTAATTGTATATTAAATAAATATATTTAATATTTGAAAAATAATTTTGGGTCTAATATAGTAGATAATTTTCTATTTTAAACTATTTTTTGTACAACTAGTTTAAAGCGAGATATTAACTCAAAGGCTGTTTGGTTTTAGTGAAAAAAAAGGTCTTTACAAGTATATATGTACTAGGTTTTATAGGTCTAAAACAATAACTCTTATGTGAAAATGTCATACCTTTTTTGTAGATAATTACCTAATTTTTGTTTGAAACTTTTTATGTACGACCATCAACAAGCGAGATATTAAAAAAGGTTTTTTTCGTGACCTTTGACTTACACGTGATTTCGTGGTTGACTTGTACATGTTATTTATAAGACGACGTGATAAAGGTGTATTCCAAATTTCAGCTTAATGGGATTTTTTCTGTACAGAAAATCTAGTTTGACTGCCTACTACTAAAAGTAGGTAATCATTATAGTATACTTTAGTATAAATACATTTTAAAATACTTTTGGAAATAGAGACTGGCGTACCTAGGACTCAGCTCAAAGTTATTTTTCGTATGCAATTATTTATCATTGAATTTAAATTTAACACATCCATTTCAGTGATGACGACCTATACTCAATATCGAGGTACACTCATAAGTCAATAAGTCATAACTTATACAGCAGAGCGACTTATTCCTAATATTTTTATAATAATATGATATAATTATGTCATATATATTTTTTGCTAGTAGACTACATGCCATTTGATATTTTAATTTTTCATTACGCTATTATTAAATATATAATATTAATGTATTACCAGTTGTGCCATCTTGGCAAAAGGATAAAAAGTCCTTGTGAAGAAATAATATACTGTAATAATTTCATGTTTTGCGAAATATTTCGTAGACTTTCTGTATATATTTTCTAATTAGTTTAAAAACTTTTAGGCAACAATTTACAAAATTACAGACCATAGATAATATTGTATATTGTATAGGTATACTAAACATAATATTACAAAACGTAGGTATAGCCATGTAGAAATTGACTCCAACCGAGATATTTTTTATTGGACTCATGTAAGCTACTCCACCTCAACTACCTTATTTTAGTGTAAACTCCACCAGGAAAAAATAGGTAAAATTAGGTTCATGAGAACTCTTCCAGTGAAAATGTCAGGCAACATTGCAACAATACAAAATTAATATCTGTATTACCTGTATTATTATTAAAATAAAAATCATAATTTTTATTGTAATAATCGCTGGCATTTAATATTAGATTACGCGTAATAACTAATATACCAAAAAATATATAAAACTTAAAACAAAAGATAGTTAAAAAATAAATATTTTAAAACTACCTACTTTATAAAGTAGGTAATTTTATATTTTTTTTATTATTTAATATTATTGTGGTTTGGCGCGACGCGTTGGCTCTGGTGCCTACCAAGTACCAGTCACATAATGCGACTGAGAGACGAGAGTAAGTGACGCCCACAGCTTCTAGTTCCCGGATGGAATGACCACCCGGGTTCGTAGTAGAAAAACCTTGCCACACATATACGTGTTTGCTTGCCTACCGTAACAACACCTTACTGCACCAGCCTTACCAACCACAGTTCATAATCCCCTGCAACAACTAATGGCCATAGTCGCCGGCCTTAAGTTAAATAAAACATAATATATATTATACTATTATAGGTAGTACACAATCATACTTAAAAATAAATGAATCGATTCGACGCAATAAACAATTTTAGTAATTTCGGCATAACTATTATTATGTCATCGCAACGGATGGTCAACGTAGGTATTTATTTAATGTTATAAAAGTCCTTATAACACTGGCGGAGTTTCTATATTATTATACCCATTACAGCTAAGATAGAAAACTGGCAGAGTTTACGTTAAACATTTTTATCTAACTTATATTTTGACGGTGTTTACAAATTTCCCTTTTTAATATAATGTAACTACAAAATTAACAAAACTTGAAATGTATAAAAAAAAAGGCTTAACTTACAGTTAGTAAGTACAATAATCGTGTACACTACCTATATTGACTTATTTTTAAATTTTTTAAATAGTAAAGACTATTTTGTAATTTTTGTTACTAGTGTAATTTATGTATTTATTAATTATACATATTTGTATATACTAAAGTGTAGCGTCCGTTTAATTATTTAGGATTCAGATGGTATACTTATTACTAAAATGTTATTTTGACTATGGTTAAATTATAATAGGGTTTTATAATTAAAAATATTAAATATTTATGCGAAATATGCATTATACTGATTAATTATATCTAATTAGGTATATTAAATTAATTTGAAACGTAGATTTTTTTTATCGATTAAAATATCACGTAGGTTTAAGATGACTAACTATGAGTTATATTATGTAACTAATTAAACGATACACTTTAAATGACTCATGGTCCAATAAAATATGCCACTCGACAATTACATTTCCTACTGCGTAAATATGATCTGACCTGTGAACAGACATGATAATAATATGTTAATATTCCAGAAAATTATTATTTAAAATAATTTGTTATTTCCTAAAAACAAAGAAATTTGTAATTTATTATAGTTATAGAAAATACTTACATAAAGTTACTCATTTATTTAAACTTAATTATTTTATGTATTTAACAATTCTAATTTTAGACACTGCTACATATTTTTTGTACCATTTAGAAGAAACCTTCAAAATATGTTTATACCGTATTACCATTTGAAAAAAAGTTGGTCAAACCCTTGTAATGAAACCGGGTTTAACCGACAACCGTCCTAAGTTGCATAGTCTAGACTCTATAGCATACTTAGATCCAGTGGCATAGCTATTTGTTTATGGCCTTTGGGCAAGGAAGTTTTGGAAACTTTTTACAAAACACATTTAATCATAGCCCTACATAATATAGCAAAAGTATAGTCTTATTGAACTACAAATAAAAATCATAAAATTATGTAAATTAACAATTGGGTAATTGATAATATTACCACTCAGCTTTTTTTAAAAATAAATTTTTGTTGAAAAGTTATAGTAATTTGAGAATGTTGAAATAATAGTTTGCTTCTAAACAATATATCAACCGTTGTAATTTAAATAACTGAAAAAAAGCTTCGTAGTGCCCTCAGAAATATTGTGTCCTTCAATTTTGATAATAAGTGTTTTTGTTCTAAAATCATTATGGAGTGATTTATCTTGAATCTTAGTGTCTTAAACACATGATTAGATACATTGCTCCTGCGCGGGGGGGGGGGGGTTCTGGGTAGAGCCATTCCTCCTTCTATTTTAGTTAATATGAACTGTTTATTGATTAAATGAAAATTAATTAGATATGTTAAGACTAAAGTATGAACTATGTTGGAAATCATCTATCTATCATTGATAGTTATCATAATATTTTAATAGTACTATTCTAATTTATGAAGTATAAAACACTTTCCTTTTTAAAAATACTTGATTTTTAATAATCTTTAGATTCACAGTAAAATATATATAACTAATCTCTGTACACATTTTATAGATGCAGTAGCAGCTGCAAGTTTGGGTGAAAATATAACTGACCCTCCAAAGTCATTAGGGATTGATGATGGTTTTAAAAGTGGAGCTTCCGAATGTGGTAAATCTATTGTGGCTATGGCGCATCAAATGGTGTCTGGACGGAGAGCATATCAAGGACGTTCTTCGGGTCCTCAAGATATTCTTGTCGTAGGACCGTCACCATCAATGTTATCCAAACGACGGAACAGCAAATCGCTCCCAGCAAGTCCCATAAGTTCACCACCTGGATCACCCCGGTCGATGCGTAAAAATCCGTATTTCACAGCACCATTTCAAGAAGAACCATCTGGAGATAAACATGGCTCATCGTGGATATTATCAAACTTATTTTCACACAGAGCTGATTCACAAGAAGAATTATCTGATAAAGAATCTAAGCGATTCCCTAAACCATTGTCTTCCACCAATTTATCCGTAAAACCCAAACCTACAGAGCTGAGAGAGATGAATTTCTGGACACCTACATCAATGTAATCATTCAGGCTAAAAAAATTATTTTATTTATAAAGATTTTCTGCACTTTTGGTTATATTATTAATTTGTGTTGTTGAAATTATTTTATATGTATCCTTATTTTTCCTTATAATCTCCTTAACTTAGTACCTGTAAAAATCATTTTTAGTTTTAAGTTTTCGTTGTTATTTTCTTTATCTTTTTTTGTTTAATTTTATAATATTAAGTACCAAAATAATTATGATATGAAGACAATACATTGTAAAGTGCGCATCTTTTATGCATATAAGATATAACTGTATAAGTAAGCTTTATATTTTAATACCAATAATTTATATTCAGACAATTTTTTGTTTATTAATCACTTCTAAAAGTTTGTTTACATTTTTTTTACCCAAGTATTAATATAAACCAATTATATAATGTAATTTTATTTCTCAAAATTGAATGAATGCAAAAATATATATCATTGACATTATTGTCATTTACTCTAAATACTGTCAATAATTTATAATACTTAAATAATTATGCACATTGACATAATGCATAAATAAGGGTCAATTAAATAAGTGTTGTGACCAATAGTGCAAACGACATTAAGACAAAGATTATATTATCTATTTTAAAATTAACTTGTTTTGTGTCATACTATACTACAATCATAGGACAATGCTACAATTGTATCAATGATAACAATTTAAAAACAAATAATTTATGGTTTGAATGAATGAGCTATATTTTAATATCAAAAAAACTCATTACAATTATCCAAGGTCATTGTCATTCACCGATCCAAACTAATACCAACATGTATTATTTATTATAAACAAGAGAAAAAATTATTTTTAAGTTATTTAGGTATTTTAAATTATTAGTCTACTACAAATCTAGGGAAAAAAGCCCCTTACCAACAAACACTAAGTCACTAAACAATCAATGATTAATGATTATGCTCTAATTATTGATATAATTTATTATTTATTTTAACATAATGTATTGTCGTGATTTAAACAAGTTTAATATAATTATATTTTTGTGTTTTTACATCATATTTATTTATGTATTTGAATCAGAATAATAATAATACATATTTATTTTCATGTTTACATAACAATATTATAACATATTGAATAACATCGCATCTTATTTAAAAACCGATACCTGTTATGATGTAGGCGTCAACTAAGAAAGGATTTTTGGAAATTCAATCCCAAAAGGGGAAATAAGGGGCTGTAAGAATACAACAGTGGGGCCATCCATAGGCGGCAACTAGGGGGTGCATGAGGGTGCAGTTGCACCCACGACAATTTTTCTGGGGGGGGGGGGCAAAAGTATCATTTTGCACCCATACACAGACAATCACAACAGTAAAAAATATTTTAATTATTTTATTGTTAACAATTATACTGATATAATGTAATTTTGATATTAAAAAATAACCATGGATCATTTAAATATTTTATATCTGATTACTCAATTAATTAGTTAATTAAATAATTAATTAATTATACGGACTAAAATCTTAGTCCGTGATTAAATGTTAAAATACTAATAATAATAATTAAATAATGCAGTAAGCTAATTAAGCTATAAGAAGTTTTGAAGAATTGAGAACAGATGACAATTTTCAGAAAGTATGGGAAAAGGCTACTATTGTTTCAAAAAATAATGGTTTTAGTAAGCCTAACCTACCACGCATTAAATCAGTACAGTATGAATACGACTCAGTAAAATTAGGTGGTGGCAAAAAACAAACTATACAGACTGTTCAAGATCATTTTCGTATAAATGTATTTTTTGGAATTATAGATACAGTAATGATGTGCATGAAGAGTAAATTTAAAGAAAATTATTGAAGTTTGTTGAATTCTATGAATAATGTCTTATTTAATAAAAACCCTACTAATCAGTCAATAGGGGAAGTTTGTAATGCATACAAAATAGAATCAAATGATTTATCAAGTGAGATAAAAATAGTAAATAGATTATTTATAAATCATGAATGTGATACAATTATAAAAAAGATAAATCATATTAGATCTAAAGATATTCAGACAGGATTCCCAAATTATACAAATATATTAAAGATTTTTTTAACTATTCCTACAAATACTGCATCTAATGAACGCAGTTTCTCAGCTCTACGGACATTAAATACATACATAAGAGTCACAATGAGTCAAGAGCGATTGAGCAGTTTAGCAATCTTATATATACAAAAAGAATACCCTATAGATTTTGATAATATAATTGACAAGTTTGATGCTGAGGCTTCAATAAGAGGTCGTCATTTGACACTGAAGTAGTGAAGTTGACAAATACCTAGTAATTATGTTACACACAGTTAATTTTTTTTTTTTTAATTATTATTTATGTCAAAATAAAAAGTTGTTTTTTAATAATATTTTTACATATTCAAGTACATATTTGAAATACAGGGAGTCAGGGACCCAATTGGAATAGTTATTAATAAAGACATTTTTTTAACTACATTTGTTGTAGCAATAGTTATATATTAGGGGGTACTGGGGGGCAACTTCCCTATGGATTTGTGAATGTTATTACCATAAACGTTTGCACCCACATAAGTTTCTACCAAATGCCGCCTATGGGCCATCTATCAAGCAATATCTAATTTAAATATACAATATTGGTTTAAAAATGCAAAACGTACGTATTTGATATATGGAATAGGTAGTGGTTCCTTTAATGATCTATATGACTATATGGATGTTCATTAAGAAAGGATTTTCTGATATTCATGTTTTTAAGAGCTGGTCAAACAGGGATCTTAAGATTCAAGGTGGAAATTGAAACTTTTTCTTGTTTATTTATGGTTGCATTTGGTTGCAGGTTATATATACGAATTATTTCACCAAAGCTTTGTACAACTACGCCGATTTGTCTGTAAAAATAAAATGAAATAAATAAAGTAAAATAACAACAAAAACATATAAATATTAAATACTCCTAAAAATTCTGGATGATCAACTATGATTTCAATACTATTTTAGGTACACCGTAACATTTTGTTCAAGTACAAAGATGTACTAATATATGTAGTAATATACTAATATAGGTTTTATTTTATCACCTACCTCGCTGTGTCCGCCATCTACCGCAGGTAGATTGCCTACCTGATAATATACTGTTCACAGTTCACATATAACCATGAGCGGATCTCACGGGTGACCCACTGACCCCACGCGGGATGATTAAAAATTAAAATATAATATGATTTTGCTTCCATATGCACAGCGAATTATACCCAAATGGAGTTAATTATTCAACATTTTTTGCCGGGCAACGCCGTGTTATTTTAATAGCGCTGTGATAATAGTATTATAAATTATAATATTAACGCTAAAACTATAACCTTATGGGTGTCCTAGCGGATTTACACACATGCGGGGAAAAACAAAATAGCTTGAATTTGGCCGTATGCAGGCAGAACAATAACAGCATGGTCAGTATAAAAACGCAAGCACTCGCCCGCACTAGCTAGGACATTACGTAATGGATGGTGTTCAAATATTCAATTTGAATTCAATGATATAAAATCAACGCTTTTTAAAACTACTCGGAATTTTAAATGTTGACCTCCCGAATGCACCTAATAGAATGATAGATTCACTTTCTCATAGACTTAGATACATACTGAAGTTGTAAATCGAAAAATTACTTCGACTACGTCGTAGGGTGTACACAAAAAGTAAAAATAAAAGTAACATCAATACATTTATGCGTTTATCGCTATACGCTCTAAAATCTATAATTAAACACAAGATGACTACAAATAAAATCAAAAAATAACTAAGATGTGTATATTGTGTTAAATTCACTTCCACAATACAGTAATTATGATCGAAGAATAAAAATTGTATTTAATTTAAATTACATAATTAGTCACATAGACAGCACTTGTATTATAAGAATCTGTTCTAAAAAAAATTCTTGCGTTGTTGTTTTCATATTATTTGAAACTGCCAATTTACGCGGTCACGTGGCATGAAAAAAGATTTATTTTTACACTAACAATATGAAGATTCAGACACTTTCCGCTAAAAATAGATTTCCTGCTTAATACACGTGCCATTTTGAATTTAATGAATATATTAAAATAATAGTTTAAATATATAACACGTATGTACATAGCAATGCACTTGGAATTTGCTAGTCACTTTGTAAACAGTTTTTTCTGTGTCACTTCAAAATGTACCTACATAGTACATAAACACATGAATGTCAATGAACTATAATATTGATAATACAATATTATATAAACACAAAAACTTGAATTAAATTTTAAAGAGTAAGAGATTGTATCGTATCTGGTAAATTACAATATTATTCGTCAATACTCAAATATGTAAATGTCATTTTGGGTGGGTCACTGGGGTCAAAGGGGAGGGCACAGCATTTTGGCCCAGCAAAATAATTAACATGGTTCATTAACTCGGTGAAGGATAATTTTTGGACCAACGAATTTCTAGATTATCGCATAATAGTTTATATTTACTTTAAGAGCTTGATATGAATTGTTTTTTGTCAACGACTCAACATCACTAAAACCAGGCCCAGCAGGAATACAAGAGTACAAAACATTCTAGAAAATCGCTCGCTCAAACTGGTGTGAAAACGCACTGGGATATTTGCATCAATTGTCTCCTACAAGCTTTTAGCTTAAGCTTTATTTAAATATGTATAGGTATACTATATTGTTTTGAATAATAATAAATAAAAGTTAAATTAAGATTTATTTGATTTAATTTTGTTTGTTGTCATTAGTGGAACGGAAGTCACAACTGATTATTATTTATTAATCAAAAAGGATATTGTGGTACGTTGAAAAATAACAAAACAACAGAAGTAAAACAATGATATCAATTTTTAATTTTGAAAATTTGTCTACCTACATTTCATAAGATCTTAATTTAAATACCTACTTACTTACACACCAATTCAATATTGTATTCCAAGATTATGTACCTACTACCCATTATTTTTATTTAGGTATAAAT